CCACATCACTGATAAAAATATTGAACAGAACTGGCCATAGAATTGAGTCCAGAGGAACACCAGGCTTACTAATCTTTAGCCAGATGTAGCCTCATTCACTGCAACCCTTTGATCCCTGCCTTTCAGCCAGTTCTTCACCCAGCACACCATGTACCTGCTCATCCCATAGACAGACAAGTTCTCCAGAAGGATGCTGTGAGGGACACTATCTAAAACCTTACTAAGATCCAGAAAAACTCCATCCACTGCTTTCCCTTAATGCACTGGGTGGGTGACTTTATCACAGAAGGATATCAAATTAGTTCAACAGGACCTTTTTATTGTGAACCTGTGTTGACTGTGCCTGATGATTGCATTGTTCTTTAAACATCTTTCAATAGCACCCAGTATGACATTCTCCATAATTTTTTTCCATGGACTTAGGTCAGACTGACAGGTCTGTAGTTTCCTGGGTCTTCCTTCACAAGCTTCTTTCAGTTGGAAAAACACTGTCTGGCTTCCAGTCAGCAGGAACCTCCCCAGCCTCCCAAGACCTTTGGTAGATCTTTAGGGGATTTCTGCTGTAACATCTCCCAGTTTCTTCAGTTCTGTGGCATGAATCCTATCTGTCCCAATGGATGTATGAACAATCACATGATACAGCTGGTCCCTTACAAAGGGAAAGTGATTGTTCCTGCAGTCGTGGTTCTTCAACTTAGTGTACCGGGCAGCCCGAGGTCTATAAGCATTATTAAAGACTGAGGCAAAATACTTTGAAATATTGAATGCCTCAAGTTTCCCTTCATCTCTATTACTCAGGTGACCATCTTCAACAGTTATTGGCCCAATGTTTTCTTTGCACCTCTTCTTGCTATCAATGCACCTAAAAAAGCCTTTCTTGTTGTCTAACACAAGACGGGCCACTTTCAACTCTAATTGAGCTTTGGCCCTTCCTGCTTTCTCCCTGCATATGTGAATGACAGCTCTGTACCTTTTCTGTGAAGCCTGACCTTCCTTTCACAGATTGTACAATTTCTATTTTCTGTGATGTCTTCTGCCCTGCTTGCTTAACTTTGGAATTGCCTGCTTCTGTGTTTTTAAAGGTGGTTCTTAAAAACTGAATACCACTTGTAGATTCATGAAAGCAGATTCATAGGGGACGATGCAAGGAGGGATTCCAGAAGGTTTCTGCTCCACCTAAGGGTTTACAACTGCAAAATAAGTTCACCACTTTCAAAGATAAAGTGGAGCCAGATGTGCCTTGAAACCTTGTTTTCTTGAACAAGGTCAATCAAGGAAGTGTCTACCTTTGTGGTACCATTGTGGAGAAGTCCCCAGAACCCTTTCTAGGAAGGCAACACACTGGGATGCCTCTGTCAAGTGCCTGGGCACTAATGCTCACAATCTGGGGAGTAACCACCAGGAGTCAGAGATGTGTGTGCAGTTGTAGGGCTACGATCATGTTGGGATCATGGAAACAGGGTGGGATGGCTCCCGCGACTGGCATGTTTCAGTGGAGGTATACAGGCTTTTTTTGGAACTACAGGCTGTGAAGACAAGGAGGGGGACTTTCCCTTTCTGTGAGAGAGCAGTTGGAATGTATGAAGCTCTGCCTGGCGTTGGGTGATGTGCCAACTGAGGGCTTGTGGGCAAGCATTAAAGAGAAGACAGGTAAGTGTGACATTGTAGTAGGTATCTGCTTTAGGCCATTTACCAGGAAGAACAAGCAGATGAGGTCCTCTAGAGAGAGATAAGACTAGCATCACTTTCACAGAGCCTGATCCTCACAGGACAATTCAACCATCATGATATCTGTTGGACGGACAGCACAGAAGGACATAAGCAAGCCAAAAGGTTACACCAGTGCATAGAAGACAACTTCATCACCCAAGGAATAGAAGATCCAATAAGAGGTGTTCTGCTGGATCTCATAGGCACTGAGAAGAAAGTCTTGTTATGGATGTGAAGACCAAAGGCAGCCTGAGCTGCAGTGACCATGACATGGTGGACTTCAAGATCCTCAACCAACAATGAGGGTAAATACCAAGATCATAACCCTGCACTTCAAGAGATCAGACTTTGGTCCCTTTAAGGAGCTGCTCAAAAGAGTCCTCAGTGATGCGACACTTGAGGCGGAGAGGAGCCCCCAGAAAACTGGTTAATATTCCAGTATCACTGCCTCCAAGCTCAAGAGCAGACTGACCCACTTAGCAAAAAGTTAGGAAGGCATGCCAGGAGGCCTGCATGGATGAACAAGGAGCTCCTGGACAAACCAAAATGCAAGAAGGAAGCAAGCAGAAAATGGAAGCAGGAATAGGTAACCTGGGAAGAATACAGAGAAACATGTCCAAGCATTCAGGGGTGAGGTTAGGAAAACCAAAGCCCAACTGGAACTGACTCTGGTGAAGGATGCCAATGGCAACATGAAGGGCTTTTCTAAGGACACAGGTGACAAAAGGAAGGCTGGGGACAACTGGTCCCACTGATGAAGGACTGGGCTTTCTCTGAAGCCCCACAGCCTTGCAACACAGGGCATGGAAAGGCCGAGAGGCTGAATGTGAATGCCTTCTTTACCTTAGCATTCATGAGAAAGATCAGTCTTTAGGACTCCTAGGTCCCTGAAACCAGGGGAGAATTTAAGAGCAAGGGAGGTGTATCCTTGGTAGAAGAGGATAAATTCAAGGAATACTTAAGCAAAGTGATAGCCTCCCTCAAAATTTCGTGTTTTAGACAATGATAACACTCAGGTGTTCGAAAGCATAAGTCTACCCCTTGTTATTTGTGTGTCACACTAAGAAATGAGTTTTCTCTACTGGCTGCCCCCCATAATAACCTGGTTTTGGTAGAGGACCCACATAACTCTGATTTTCAGCACTGTTGAGATAATGGGGGAAATAACTTTTGCAGCCCTCAGTACCCAGAGCTTGAGGAAGGCTGCTTAGTTTCCTGGGTAAAAGATTAAGAGTCAATGAAATCCAGCAGAGCAGCCCACCTGCACCCTACAAGTGACCACTGGAGTGAGTCAGGAGAGAAAGACAAGGCACATCCTCATGCAGGGAAGCCCTTGGGTGACCAGCAAAGATTCCAGGGTTGGGAGTAGATGGGCCCTTTCCTGTCACTGCAGCCATGGGCAACCCCACCAGTGTGCCCCAGGCCAACATCACTTGCCTGCACTGCGCCCATCCGGCACCTGAGCTGAGGCTTCAGCAGGCACTGACACGTTCCTGCCCCAGAAATCATGGAGTCTCTCAGTCCCAGCACTCAGAAGAAGCCTCTGTGAGAGAAGGTAGACAGCGTAAGCCAGGAAATGAGAAGGTGGCATCAGAGAAAACAACCACCCAGGCCATGTCATTAGCTGAGGTGTTTTCTGCCTCTCATGAGCACCTTAGAAAATTACCACTTCTGTAGAAGCTACCTCTGGGCCTGGGGCAGGTCAGAGTCACTATAAAAAGCCAGCCCAACTCCTTGGTCTCTCATCCGCTTCACTCTCCTCCTTCTCCTTGAGAACCAGGTGAGTCTGAAGCCCTTTCCTCATGTCTTTTTTCTATTCATCCAAATGTGTAGCTGTCCATCTGTGCTGGTTCTTGGTGTAGCTTGAGGGGGGAAAAAGGGGTGTAAATCTGACTCAGAGAGTATCTGCGATCTGCCTGAGAAGGCTCTTCATTGAAGAGATAGGTAGCAACCTTGTCAGGCTTACCAAAACTTTGAATTAAATTGTTTGCATGAGGCTGAGAATTTCCTTCTGTCTCATTGCATGCTTTCTACCTCTTGGCTCTGTGGGTGCTTTAGACATGATCATTACAGGGTGACAGACTTGTGGTGGACTGCTCCTGACATGTACCCCTAATTCCTCCTTGATCTTTCTCCCAGGTGTACCTTCACCCTCAAGTCATGTCCTGCTATGACCAGTGCCAGCCCTGCTGCCGGCCCTGTGGCCCAACCCCACTGGCCAACAGCTGCAACGAGCCCTGTGTCAGGCAGTGCCAGAACTCCACCGTCGTCATCGAACCCCCTGCTGTGGTGGTGACCCTGCCCGGCCCCATCCTCAGCTCCTTCCCTCAGAACACCGCTGTGGGATCCTCCACCTCTGCTGCTGTTGGCAGCATCCTCAGCTGTGACGGAGTCCCCATCAACTCTGGGTGCTGTGACCTCTCCTGCATTACCAGCCGCTACTGTGGCAACAGATGTCAGCCCTGCTAAATCCACTGGTGGCCGCCTGAACAAAGACCTCAAAACCCAGAAGCTGATGTTGGATTAAGGACAGAGCTTCTGGCCATTGATTTCAGAGACGTTGAGCATCCAGTGCTGCCCTTCCAAAGGAGGACAGCTCAGGACCTCTGCAATGATGGCCAAAGTCTAACTTCCCTGCCTTATTCTCTCTCCTGTCTTTCTTGTCTTCTATTGTTCTGTGCTTTAAATACCCCAGAGCCAACTTGAGGCATCTGCTGGACCCTCTCTTTTTGTGGGACATGTAGATGGATGCCCTGTGGATCTTCACTGTAGTCAATGGGCATAGATTTTCAGCAGCTGCTAGTGAAATACCTGCACTGGCATCCTGTGAAAAGTGAACTCATACCCCTCTTCAGAGTCATTAAAGTTTTCTGCATCCCAGCCTCTGCCTCTATGTAATTATTTTCTTGGTGGACATTGTCTTGTATTGCCAAGGAATAAAGGCATTGCCTTGGGTGGTGGGCAATAAGATGGGGACATGAGCAGAAGAGTAAGGGAAGAGTGGGACACAGGGCACTGGGTCTCTTCCAGTCACTGTCTCTTTGAGCTGATGCAGAGATTGCCCAACTCCTCCACAGCCAGTGGGTATCAGGCCCTGTATTCCAGCATCTCTGCTCACATATGATCCCCTGGCCTCAGGGCATGTCCTGCAACATGGAGACTGACTACTGCTTTCCCTTAGAGAGGAGCCCGCTGCTGCTGGAGGCTCTGAAGGGTAAGCAGCTCAGAATCTTGTACAGAAGGGAATTCCTGGTGCTCTGGATAACCCTGTGCTGGGGAAAGAACCTCAGTCAGAAGTTGGAGTCAGGGTGAAGTGAGAAAAAGCCTTTGAAACAGCCCCTGTCCTCCTCCTCCTCCCACTTGTCCCCCGAATGAGGGAGCATGGCCTGCACCCAAGGGTAAGGGTAGTGAAGGCACATAACCTCTTCATCCTCTGCCCCCAACGAGTTCCACGCACAACCGAGCAGTTACAGGGCTAAGGGGACTCATAGATTGATATTGAAACCAATCTGACCAGGCAAAACCTGAGGTCACTCATGTCTCTCACACACCGCCAGCTCCCATCAGACTGGGTCCTACAAGGACAGTAGCCAGTGCCAAAGCCCCCTGGCTGCTCTGGGGTGCCTGGCATTCTCCCAGACATGAAGTAGCTTTACTCAAGACCAGCCCTTCTCCTGGAAGGGCCTGTTATCAACTTCTTCCTAGTGCCCTCTGTTCCCCCAATGAGATCTTGAATAAAGCTGAATAGCCTGGGACAACTCTAGGAGAAATAAGGTGATGCTAGAGGAAGCTCATGAGATTGGGCATGAGAAGGGTTCCAAGGACCAGCAAAATACACTAGGGAGAGAAAGCTTCCAGGACTCAGAACACAGCTGTGCAGCAACTAGAGGGTCAAAAGGTAGTCCTGAATGTTTTCCAAATTTGTTGTAATCATGTAATTCCAGGGAGCAACATTGCCCTGTGTCATATTATTTAGGTTTCTCATCTTTATTTGAACTCTAACCTCTGAGGGACACATTCTGGAGCAGATACTCAAAGATACAGGCCCACAGGAAACCCTGATGAAGCAATATGCAGCACGAAAAACCAGAAAGTAAACAACAGCAGCAAGGAACCATTGCCCAAGCAATCCCAACCTCCTGCATTGCCTGTCAGCTGACCAGAGCTGTTGGGCATAATAACCATATAACCCAAGGTGAAAACAAGAGAACCTGAGACTCTTTTATCACCTTCTCTTTCCTTTCACATCACTGACATTGGCTCCTCCTGCAAAGAAGATCTCGGCAGCAGAGCTCTGGATGTATTGAAGAAACAATGTTGAGGGCCCTTTCCATGAAACTCAGCCTTGCACAGACACATCCCCTCCCTCCCCTGAGTTCTCGCACAGCCAAGGAAGCTCCCTGCACCAGGGTGTCTTGCACAGCACAGAGGTACAAGGCACTGTCAGAGACCTCGACTTCCTCCAGCTGCAGGAGGCTGTATTGCCCCGTGGTGTTCAGTTCAGTTGTGAAACGTCCACTGTGCTTGCGGCCAGCTGCGACCTGAGAAGAAACCAGGTGGGGACCTTGGCCTTTCCTCTGCTGGTACCAGAGCAAGCCTTGAAAGAAGGAGCTCTGGTAGGTGCAGGTTGTCTGGAAGGTGTCTCTCTGCTTCACTGTGACTTCTCCTTCTTGCTGGGTGACAGTGATCTGTCCCACGGTGCCTGGAAGAAATTGAGGGTCTGTGACTGTGCAGGGCAAGGCACCGAGATGCAAAACAAGAGCAGATGCAAAATGTCAGAGGAAAAGACTCCCTGTGCCTTTCTCTGCAGCAAGAGCCCCATGGATGGGAACAGCAAGGCAGTGAGTAACTTTTGGGCAGGAGGCCTGAGACCTCAGCTCAGCACGGATCTCACAGCACAATAACACCAATTACCTCCCACAGGGATACCCCCAGAGGAGAGCTGTGCTTTCACTCAGGTCTTTGGTTACCACGCTCCTGCTGCCTGGAGTCTCCAGGGAACAACCTGTGGTGTCTGCTCCTCCTGTGATGGCCCCAGGACACCTCCAGAGAGGTGAGAGATCAAGGGAACTCCGGTGAGAAGTTTCATCCTGCTGCCCCTTCCCAGTCCTCTCAGGAAGCCCCGAGGTCAGGGAAGAGAGGGAAAAGGAAGTCCAGGCACTGCATACTTGCAGGAGGAATGGATGGTCTGGGCAAGCTGCATGACACGTGCCAGCCAGGAGAGAGACTGGGAGACCCTAAGAGTGTGAGTGGGGTGAGAGAGCTCTCGTGTCCCTGCATCAACTTGCAAACCCCTGTGCGTCAGAAAATGCATCCTGCCCAGATAGAAAAGAGCTTCTGCAATGACAAGGCTGTGAAACACTGGGCCAGCACAGATGAGAAGAGAGAGGGAGCGAGAGGTGGATGGTTGGTAAGAGAAAAGGAAGGCGAGGGGTCTGTGATGGTCAGGAGAGGAGCTGTTTCTTCTCATTTTCATCTTTTCTTTTCTGTCACTAGCAGTACCTTGAGAAAGCAGGTGAAAGCCACTCTTATGATCTGATGTTTCCCTATATTTGCCCATAATTCAAGAGCAGCTCCTGCAGAGATCTGTTGAGGAGGTAAAGAGCAAGAAGAGGAATCCTGCCTCCAGTCAATGCCAATGCTTACCCAGTGGTTGCCTCAGGAGGCAGTGAGGAGGAGATATCTGAGGTACATTCTGTGACCAATCCTCCTGCGTGTGTGAGAGAGACTCAGAAAACCCACACGTCCCCACCAAGAGCCTCAAGAGAGCAGAGCTGCCGGAAATGACTCTGCAGGGGGAGCAAAGAATGAAATGGGGAGGAGACATTGCTTCTTAACATATCTGAAATGTCCTTGCGGTGGTTTTTGCTCCTCCAGCAGTAACAAATGTTGTTCCTGCAGCCAACGCCATCTGTTTTTCCCACCTCTCTGACACACTCCCCTGTGCAACACCTTGGGAGTCTCTCCTTCCCTGATGTTTCTGTCTTCTCTCTCTCCACCCTCAAGCCCTTGGCTGTGTTGGCCTCTCCTGGCTCCCGCACAGTGTCTAGTCCCGAGCTTCGGCCAGCATACCCAAAGCTGCAGCTCTCAGAAACAGGATGGTCAGCACCCCCAAACCCCGCAGACACTCACTGCCGTAGTCACCCCTCCAGGCACCAGGGACTTTCTCCCTCTGTCCAAAAAAGTTATCTTGGAAATCAGTAAGTGAATATTCCTGCCACACTTCCCATCCCATCTTGTAAATCATATTCTGTAAAGTTCATTCAGGGAAAAAGCCAAACAACAAGCAGCTTTCCAATTTACCATACCCCTTCCATTCTCAATTTCATCAAAACCAGTTGGATCTGTGTTTTCACTCTCTTTACTTCTAGCATCTAAGAAACAAACATGACTAACCCATTCCAAGTCCCTGCTCCCTGCAGTTCTCATTAGATCAGGCTGGTCAGGACTGTGCCCAGTCAAGTCCTGAAAATGTCCAAGGCCATAGCCTGCATATCATCTCTGGAAGATCCATTCCAGTACTTGAGAATTTTCAGGGTCAAAATAAAAAGAGTTCTTATATCTAAAAAGAATTCTCAAGATTCCTAATTGTGTCTGTTGCTTTTTTTCTTACTACTGTGCACCTTTGAGAAGAGTCTGTCTCCATCTTTTCCACATCCTCATAGCACATAGAAACCCAGAAGGTCTCCCTTGAGCCTCCTTTTCCTAAAGGTCTCAGTCTGTCATTTCTTCAAGCCCCCTGAGTGCCTTGGAGGCTTCTGCTGGACTTGCTTCCTCATGTCAATACCTTTCTTACATACCGAGGAGCCCCAAAGTGAACACAGGACCCCAGGCATGGCCTCTTGTGTGCCAAACAAAGGAGAAGGATCATTTTCTTGGGTCTGAAGGCCACACTTTTGCTGAGACATGTCAGAGTGCAGTGGGTCTCCTTTGCCACAAGGCCACACTACTGACTTACCTTCAGCCATTGGCCACCAGGCATCCCATGCCTTCCCGGCTGTCTTACCCATAACCTCTGTCTGCAGACCTAGGAAAGTGATCCTCCAGACAGAAGGTCTGGACAAAAGAAGACTTTTCCTTAGTGGAGGAAGACAAAGAAAAGGAACAGTTAAGTAAACTGGATATTTGCAGATTCCTGGGACCATTGCATGGAATTCACCCATGAGTGCTGAGGGAGCTGGAAGAAGCCATTGCTGAGCCGCTCTCCATCATCTTTGAAAGGTCCTGGAGAACAGGCAAGGTGCCCGAGGACGTGAGGAAAGCCAATGTCACTCCAGTCTTCAAAAGGGGCAAGAAGGAGAACCTGGGAAACTACAGGCCAGTCAGCCTCACCTCCAACCCTGGAAAGATGATGGAACAGCCCATTCTTGGCATCATCTCAAAGCATATGAAGGAAAAGAAAGCTATCAGAAGTAGTCAACATAGATTGACCGAGAGGAAGTAATGTCTGACTAACCTGATAGCCTTCTCTGATGGCATCACTGGTTGGATAGATGAGGGGAGGGCAGTGGCTGTTGTCAGGTTTACAACACCATCTCCCACAGCATCCTCATAGGTAAGCTTAGGAAGTGTGGATTAGAAGAATGGACAGTGAGGTGGATTGAAAACTGGCTGAAAGACAGAGCTCAGGAGGTTGTGATTAGTGGCACAGAGTCTAGTTGGAGGTCTGTAAACAGGAGTGTTCCCCAGGGGTCATTACTGGGTCCAGTCCTCTTCAGTATACTCATCAATGGCCTGGATGAAGGGATGGAATGTGCCCTCAGCAAGTTTCCTGATGATACAAAGCTGGGAGGTGTGGCTGACACACCAGAAGGCTGTGCCACCATAGAGCGAGACCTGGACAGGCTGGAGAGTTGGGCAGAGAGGAACCTGATGAAATTCAACAAGGGCAAGTGTAGGGTGCTGCACCTGGGGGAAATAACCCCATGCACCAGTACAGGTTGGGGCTGACCTGCTGGAGAGCAGCTCTGAGGAGAAAGACCTGAGAGTCCTGGTGGACAATAGGATGACCATGAGCCAACAATGTCCTTTTGTGGCCAAGAAGGCCAATGGCATCCTGGGGTGCATCACGCAGAGTGTGGCCAGGAGGCTGAGGGACGTCATCCTCCCTCTCTATTCTGCCCTGGAGAGGCCGCATCTGGAGTCCTGTGTCCATTTTTGGGCTCCCCAGTTCAAGAAGGACAAGGAACTGCTGGGGAGGGTACAGCAGAAAGCTACAAAGATGATGAGGGGCCTGGAGCATCTCTCTTGTGAGGAGAGGGTAAGGGATTTAGGTCTTTTTAGTCTAGAGAAGAGAAGACTGAGCGGGGATCTGATCAATGTTTATAAATACTTAAAGTGAGGGTGTCAAGAAGATGTGACCAGTCTTTTTTCTGTGGTGCTCAGGGATAGGACCAGACAGGAAATGGGCACGAACTTGAATATAAGATGTTCCATCTAAATGTGAGGAGAAAATTCTTTACTTTGAGGGTGGTAGAACACTGGAACAGGCTGCTGAGAGAGGCGGTGAAGTCTTCAGCCCTGCTAAATCCACTGGTGGCCGCCTGAACAAAGACCTCAAAACCCAGAAGCTGATGTTGGATTAAGGACAGAGCTTCTGGCCATTGATTTCAGAGACGCTGAGCATCCAGTGCTGCCCTTCCAAAGGAGGACAGCTCAGGACCTCTGCAATGATGGCCAAAGTCTAACTTCCCTGCCTTATTCTCTCTCCTGTCTTTCTTGTCTTCTATTGTTCTGTGCTTTAAATACCCCAGAGCCAACTTGAGGCATCTGCTGGACCCTCTCTTTTTGTGGGACATGTAGATGGATGCCCTGTGGATCTTCACTGTAGTCAATGGGCATAGATTTTCAGCAGCTGCTAGTGAAATACCTGCACTGGCATCCTGTGAAAAGTGAACTCATACCCCTCTTCAGAGTCATTAAAGTTTTCTGCATCCCAGCCTCTGCCTCTATGTAATTATTTTCTTGGTGGACATTGTCTTGTATTGCCAAGGAATAAAGGCATTGCCTTGGGTGGTGGGCAATAAGATGGGGACATGAGCAGAAGAGTAAGGGAAGAGTGGGACACAGGGCAATGGGTCTCTTCCAGTCACTGTCTCTTGGAGCTGAGGCAGATATTGCCCAACTCCTCCACAGCCAGTGGGTATCAGGCCCTGTATTCCAGCATCTCTGCTCACATATGATCCCCTGGCCTCAGGGCATGTCCTGCAACATGGAGACTGACTACTGCTTTCCCTTAGAGAGGAGCCCGCTGCTGCTGGAGGCTCTGAAGGGTAAGCAGCTCAGAATCTTGTACAGAAGGGAATTCCTGGTGCTCTGGATAACCCTGTGCTGGGGAAAGAACCTCAGTCAGAAGTTGGAGTCAGGGTGAAGTGAGAAAAAGCCTTTGAAACAGCCCCTGTCCTCCTCCTCCTCCCACTTGTCCCCCGAATGAGGGAGCATGGCCTGCACCCAAGGGTAAGGGTAGTGAAGGCACATAACCTCTTCATCCTCTGCCCCCAACGAGTTCCACGCACAACCGAGCAGTTACAGGGCTAAGGGGACTCATAGATTGATATTGAAACCAATCTGACCAGGCAAAACCTGAGGTCACTCATGTCTCTCACACACCGCCAGCTCCCATCAGACTGGGTCCTACAAGGACAGTAGCCAGTGCCAAAGCCCCCTGGCTGCTCTGGGGTGCCTGGCATTCTCCCAGACATGAAGTAGCTTTACTCAAGACCAGCCCTTCTCCTGGAAGGGCCTGTTATCAACTTCTTCCTAGTGCCCTCTGTTCCCCCAATGAGATCTTGAATAAAGCTGAATAGCCTGGGACAACTCTAGGAGAAATAAGGTGATGCTAGAGGAAGCTCATGAGATTGGGCATGAGAAGGGTTCCAAGGACCAGCAAAATACACTAGGGAGAGAAAGCTTCCAGGACTCAGAACACAGCTGTGCAGCAACTAGAGGGTCAAAAGGTAGTCCTGAATGTTTTCCAAATTTGTTGTAATCATGTAATTCCAGGGAGCAACATTGCCCTGTGTCATATTATTTAGGTTTCTCATCTTTATTTGAACTCTAACCTCTGAGGGACACATTCTGGAGCAGATACTCAAAGATACAGGCCCACAGGAAACCCTGATGAAGCAATATGCAGCACGAAAAACCAGAAAGTAAACAACAGCAGCAAGGAACCATTGCCCAAGCAATCCCAACCTCCTGCATTGCCTGTCAGCTGACCAGAGCTGTTGGGCATAATAACCATATAACCCAAGGTGAAAACAAGAGAACCTGAGACTCTTTTATCACCTTCTCTTTCCTTTCACATCACTGACATTGGCTCCTCCTGCAAAGAAGATCTCGGCAGCAGAGCTCTGGATGTATTGAAGAAACAATGTTGAGGGCCCTTTCCATGAAACTCAGCCTTGCACAGACACATCCCCTCCCTCCCCTGAGTTCTCGCACAGCCAAGGAAGCTCCCTGCACCAGGGTGTCTTGCACAGCACAGAGGTACAAGGCACTGTCAGAGACCTCGACTTCCTCCAGCTGCAGGAGGCTGTATTGCCCCGTGGTGTTCAGTTCAGTTGTGAAACGTCCACTGTGCTTGCGGCCAGCTGCGACCTGAGAAGAAACCAGGTGGGGACCTTGGCCTTTCCTCTGCTGGTACCAGAGCAAGCCTTGAAAGAAGGAGCTCTGGTAGGTGCAGGTTGTCTGGAAGGTGTCTCTCTGCTTCACTGTGACTTCTCCTTCTTGCTGGGTGACAGTGATCTGTCCCACGGTGCCTGGAAGAAATTGAGGGTCTGTGACTGTGCAGGGCAAGGCACCGAGATGCAAAACAAGAGCAGATGCAAAATGTCAGAGGAAAAGACTCCCTGTGCCTTTCTCTGCAGCAAGAGCCCCATGGATGGGAACAGCAAGGCAGTGAGTAACTTTTGGGCAGGAGGCCTGAGACCTCAGCTCAGCACGGATCTCACAGCACAATAACACCAATTACCTCCCACAGGGATACCCCCAGAGGAGAGCTGTGCTTTCACTCAGGTCTTTGGTTACCACGCTCCTGCTGCCTGGAGTCTCCAGGGAACAACCTGTGGTGTCTGCTCCTCCTGTGATGGCCCCAGGACACCTCCAGAGAGGTGAGAGATCAAGGGAACTCCGGTGAGAAGTTTCATCCTGCTGCCCCTTCCCAGTCCTCTCAGGAAGCCCCGAGGTCAGGGAAGAGAGGGAAAAGGAAGTCCAGGCACTGCATACTTGCAGGAGGAATGGATGGTCTGGGCAAGCTGCATGACACGTGCCAGCCAGGAGAGAGACTGGGAGACCCTAAGAGTGTGAGTGGGGTGAGAGAGCTCTCGTGTCCCTGCATCAACTTGCAAACCCCTGTGCGTCAGAAAATGCATCCTGCCCAGATAGAAAAGAGCTTCTGCAATGACAAGGCTGTGAAACACTGGGCCAGCACAGATGAGAAGAGAGAGGGAGCGAGAGGTGGATGGTTGGTAAGAGAAAAGGAAGGCGAGGGGTCTGTGATGGTCAGGAGAGGAGCTGTTTCTTCTCATTTTCATCTTTTCTTTTCTGTCACTAGCAGTACCTTGAGAAAGCAGGTGAAAGCCACTCTTATGATCTGATGTTTCCCTATATTTGCCCATAATTCAAGAGCAGCTCCTGCAGAGATCTGTTGAGGAGGTAAAGAGCAAGAAGAGGAATCCTGCCTCCAGTCAATGCCAATGCTTACCCAGTGGTTGCCTCAGGAGGCAGTGAGGAGGAGATATCTGAGGTACATTCTGTGACCAATCCTCCTGCGTGTGTGAGAGAGACTCAGAAAACCCACACGTCCCCACCAAGAGCCTCAAGAGAGCAGAGCTGCCGGAAATGACTCTGCAGGGGGAGCAAAGAATGAAATGGGGAGGAGACATTGCTTCTTAACATATCTGAAATGTCCTTGCGGTGGTTTTTGCTCCTCCAGCAGTAACAAATGTTGTTCCTGCAGCCAACGCCATCTGTTTTTCCCACCTCTCTGACACACTCCCCTGTGCAACACCTTGGGAGTCTCTCCTTCCCTGATGTTTCTGTCTTCTCTCTCTCCACCCTCAAGCCCTTGGCTGTGTTGGCCTCTCCTGGCTCCCGCACAGTGTCTAGTCCCGAGCTTCGGCCAGCATACCCAAAGCTGCAGCTCTCAGAAACAGGATGGTCAGCACCCCCAAACCCCGCAGACACTCACTGCCGTAGTCACCCCTCCAGGCACCAGGGACTTTCTCCCTCTGTCCAAAAAAGTTATCTTGGAAATCAGTAAGTGAATATTCCTGCCACACTTCCCATCCCATCTTGTAAATCATATTCTGTAAAGTTCATTCAGGGAAAAAGCCAAACAACAAGCAGCTTTCCAATTTACCATACCCCTTCCATTCTCAATTTCATCAAAACCAGTTGGATCTGTGTTTTCACTCTCTTTACTTCTAGCATCTAAGAAACAAACATGACTAACCCATTCCAAGTCCCTGCTCCCTGCAGTTCTCATTAGATCAGGCTGGTCAGGACTGTGCCCAGTCAAGTCCTGAAAATGTCCAAGGCCATAGCCTGCATATCATCTCTGGAAGATCCATTCCAGTACTTGAGAATTTTCAGGGTCAAAATAAAAAGAGTTCTTATATCTAAAAAGAATTCTCAAGATTCCTAATTGTGTCTGTTGCTTTTTTTCTTACTACTGTGCACCTTTGAGAAGAGTCTGTCTCCATCTTTTCCACATCCTCATAGCACATAGAAACCCAGAAGGTCTCCCTTGAGCCTCCTTTTCCTAAAGGTCTCAGTCTGTCATTTCTTCAAGCCCCCTGAGTGCCTTGGAGGCTTCTGCTGGACTTGCTTCCTCATGTCAATACCTTTCTTACATACCGAGGAGCCCCAAAGTGAACACAGGACCCCAGGCATGGCCTCTTGTGTGCCAAACAAAGGAGAAGGATCATTTTCTTGGGTCTGAAGGCCACACTTTTGCTGAGACATGTCAGAGTGCAGTGGGTCTCCTTTGCCACAAGGCCACACTACTGACTTACCTTCAGCCATTGGCCACCAGGCATCCCATGCCTTCCCGGCTGTCTTACCCATAACCTCTGTCTGCAGACCTAGGAAAGTGATCCTCCAGACAGAAGGTCTGGACAAAAGAAGACTTTTCCTTAGTGGAGGAAGACAAAGAAAAGGAACAGTTAAGTAAACTGGATATTTGCAGATTCCTGGGACCATTGCATGGAATTCACCCATGAGTGCTGAGGGAGCTGGAAGAAGCCATTGCTGAGCCGCTCTCCATCATCTTTGAAAGGTCCTGGAGAACAGGCAAGGTGCCCGAGGACTGGAGGAAAGCCAATGTCACTCCAGTCTTCAAAAGGGGCAAGAAGGAGAACCTGGGAAACTACAGGCCAGTCAGCCTCACCTCCAACCCTGGAAAGATGATGGAACAGCCCATTCTTGGCATCATCTCAAAGCATATGAAGGAAAAGAAAGCTATCAGAAGTAGTCAACATAGATTGACCGAGAGGAAGTAATGTCTGACTAACCTGATAGCCTTCTCTGATGGCATCACTGGTTGGATAGATGAGGGGAGGGCAGTGGCTGTTGTCAGGTTTACAACACCATCTCCCACAGCATCCTCATAGGTAAGCTTAGGAAGTGTGGATTAGAAGAATGGACAGTGAGGTGGATTGAAAACTGGCTGAAAGACAGAGCTCAGGAGGTTGTGATTAGTGGCACAGAGTCTAGTTGGAGGTCTGTAAACAGGAGTGTTCCCCAGGGGTCATTACTGGGTCCAGTCCTCTTCAGTATACTCATCAATGGCCTGGATGAAGGGATGGAATGTGCCCTCAGCAAGTTTCCTGATGATACAAAGCTGGGAGGTGTGGCTGACACACCAGAAGGCTGTGCCACCATAGAGCGAGACCTGGACAGGCTGGAGAGTTGGGCAGAGAGGAACCTGATGAAATTCAACAAGGGCAAGTGTAGGGTGCTGCACCTGGGGGAAATAACCCCATGCACCAGTACAGGTTGGGGCTGACCTGCTGGAGAGCAGCTCTGAGGAGAAAGACCTGAGAGTCCTGGTGGACAATAGGATGACCATGAGCCAACAATGTCCTTTTGTGGCCAAGAAGGCCAATGGCATCCTGGGGTGCATCACGCAGAGTGTGGCCAGGAGGCTGAGGGACGTCATCCTCCCTCTCTATTCTGCCCTGGAGAGGCCGCATCTGGAGTCCTGTGTCCATTTTTGGGCTCCCCAGTTCAAGAAGGACAAGGAACTGCTGGGGAGGGTACAGCAGAAAGCTACAAAGATGATGAGGGGCCTGGAGCATCTCTCTTGTGAGGAGAGGGTAAGGGATTTAGGTCTTTTTAGTCTAGAGAAGAGAAGACTGAGCGGGGATCTGATCAATGTTTATAAATACTTAAAGTGAGGGTATCAAGAAGATGTGACCAGTCTTTTTTCTGTGGTGCTCAGGGATAGGACCAGACAGGAAATGGGCACGAACTTGAATATAAGATGTTCCATCTAAATGTGAGGAGAAAATTCTTTACTTTGAGGGTGGTAGAACACTGGAACAGGCTGCTGAGAGAGGCGGAGAAGTCTTCTTCTCTGGAGTCATTCAAAACCTGCCTGGACAAGTTCCTGTGCAACCTGCTCTTGGTGGACCTGTTTTGGCAGTGGGGTTCGACTAGATGATCTCCAGAGGTCCCTTCCAACCCTATATGATTCTGTGATTCTGTTTCACCCAGCTCTACATAATTTTTTCACGCTATCTTAAGCTCAAACTCCTGACATTGTAGGAAGGCCTCCTGAGCACCAGAAGAGATCAAATGATGGAGGAGCTTGGGAGAAGCCCGATGCTGATTCATGTGTTGATGCTATTCCTAGCCTTTGCCTATGTTGATGCGAATGCTAGTGACAGGTAGTCGGGGAAGGACCCTGGGATGCCTGGTTGGGTGGGACTGTTTAGGGTGAGGTACTTCCAGCAGGCATACTGGAAGTGCCACCTGATGGGCCTGACCAGGGCTTTCAGAGTATCATGGAATTGCATAATCATAGAATCATAGAGTCATAAAATGGTTGGGAAGGGAGCTTGAAATACCATTTAATCTAGTGACATCTGACACTAGAGCAGATCACTCAAAGCCCTATCCAACCTGACCTTGAGCAATTCTGATGATGGGGTACGCACAACTTTTTTGGATAACGTCTTTCAGTACCTCACCACTCTAATTGAAAAACATTTCTTACTTATGTACGATATGAATCTACCCTCTTCCAGTTCAAAACTATTACCCCTTGTTCTATCACTACAAACCTTGGTGAAATGTCTCTCTTGGTGTTTCTTTTAAGCCCCTTTTAAGTAGTATTTGTTTGTCTTTTGAAGTGAAGGTATTCATCTAGGGGGGCAGCTTCATCAGGCCAGCTTCCTCTCTGGTGTCCCAGCCCCAGGATTTGCAGCTGCAGGCCATGGGGCTCACCCCCCACATACAACCCTTTACTGCTGTGTGAGCATGTTAGGGCTGCACCTCTCCCTGCACTGAAGCTGGAACTGGTCCCAGATCTCCACAACTGCCCTACAGCAATCACCAGGGATAGGTCAGAGCTTGCAAAACTTTGGGATTATTTTGACTTGTAAAGTGGGAACCCCTGGAGCTGCAGGAATAAGGATGGTCTATAGCTTTGATTTTTCTCTCTTACACATGGTCTTTGCATGCAAATGGGCTGAAAGTCCAAACAAGACCCTGTGGCTTGGATCCTAATAAACCTTCAGTCTTCCCTGTAATGAGAACACAATCTAATTGAACTACTTCTGTCCAGCCCACAAAAACCCTCTGCTGCCATTAAATCCATCAGGGATGGCTGGTTCCTGATTTACCTTCTTAGCAGTGGACTTACAAGGACTTGCCTGAAGTTGCCAGGGCAGAGAGAGCTGCTGGTGGAGTCCTGGTTCTCGGATTATGGGGAGAGGCTGTACTTCCTCCTGTGCATCTGCCTCTGTTTGTGCCTGAGGCCGTGTTTGTGCCTCTGTGTTTGCATTTGTGTAGGCATTTGCAAATGCACATGTGCGAGTGAGTGTCTGCCCATGCGTGTGTGAATAAGGGCATTTCCGTGTGTGTCTATGCACGTTTGTGTCCATGCACATGTTTGTGTCCATGCACATTTTTGCAGGTGAGCAAGTGAGTGTGTTGTCAGTGTGTGTGTGTGCAGATGTGCATAGATGTGCACATGTCTATATACTCAAGCATGCATATAAATGTACATGCAATTGTGACTCTACAAGTGCACAAGCACGTGTGAACACTTACATGATGACAAGCCTGAGGAGTGAAGTATGTGCAGGCACAGGGGTTCTTGTGTAACTGAGTGTGCATACATATGTTTGCTCACATGTGACCAAATACTTGTGTGGGGCCCACAGGCCTGGACATGAGTGTACACCCTTTGAGTGCATGGATGTCAGCATGCACTCCTGTGTCAGCATATCTCATGTGTCTGTGTACCCACAGCTGTGCAATTCCTTCCATTTGCTTGTGATGTCAGCTAGTGAGATCAGAATGAGAACAAGAGGTGAAACCTGTGATGAAACTGTGGTCTGACTCAGATATCCCATGAGGGTAAGTTGCAGTGAATGTCCAGACTTGCCCATCAGTGCTGACCCATCCCTGATAGGTGTTACCTGGGAAACAGCCCCTGTGCTTGCAGTCATGTTTGCTAAGAAGCAGAAGTGCTGACAGCTGGGAATATGACCTGCCCCTTCATTGGGAGCAGGAGACAAGAGCAAAAAAAAAAAGAGGTGGGAAAAGGCTAAAACCCTCTGTCCACAGAGGAGGTGAAAGTGGAGGCCTTCCGGAAGAGTGCCCAGGAAGACTAAGTCTGTACAGCTACATGCCTAGCCAGGGACAGCTGAGCAGCCATGGCACCTGGAGGTGACAGACAAACCAATCAGAGAACTTGGGAACTGGATAGAGTGTCCACTGTCTTCCTGGAGATGGGAAAGAAAGGATGAGAGCTTCCCTTCAGGTGCCTCTCTGTAGCCCAAAGCCAATGCCCAAGCCATTTTCGGTGAGGGGGTGGGGGGAGAATTGGAGTCATGAGTATAAGGGAGACAGAGAGAGAACAGATAAATCAAGGGGCTTAGGTATCACCTGCAGGCCCGGAGGGAAATCCACTGTTGTAGCCCCCATTTCCCACCAGCAGGATGGCCATGAAACAGAAAACCTGTGCGGAAAAGGAGGAAGAAGATCATTGACAGGAAGAAGCCGTAAGTCACCCAGAGGAGCAATTTCTCAGGAGAACAGCTCCCAAGGCAGACAGTGTTTCTACCTCTTTCACAGTGTCCTTCCTTCCCCGCTACCAGCAGCCCCTGGGGAAAAGAAGGTCTTTTCCTGACCCAGTCAGGCAACAGCAGCAGGCGCTGGGGTGTGTGATACTTAATCAAACATGCCTTCACCCCAGTGACAGTTGCTGGCCCCTCAGATTCAGATTTCAACACAGGACATGAAGATCCTTGGGGCTGGAGACCAAAGGACTCATTGATTCTTTGGCTTTCCTGGGCACAGCACAGTGACATCAGGACCTTGGCCCCTTCAGTTCAATGTCTCAGTCCTCGTCCAGATCAGCACCATCTCATTAAGTTGTTGGCTGGGTCTAAGTTGATGTTTTTATACAGTCTAAGACTCTTAGGGCCTGCTGAGGGACAGAAAGGAAAAAACAACTTAATTGATACCCCAAATTATCTCACCTAAAGGCTCAAGTAACTAATATATACTCTTAATATTCTTTTTTTCCTTGCAAAGGCTGACTAAGTATTCACACCTAGTTAAAATTAAGCAAGAAGAGAGACTACGGGAAAATGTAATGGAAAAAACCAGCAAATCCGTGTACACTAATATAATGTGCAGAAGAAGAGATGAACGTAGCACTCGGGGGAGTCATGGAGCAGCCAGCACCCCTGGGCAGCACTGCTTTCACATCTGTGCTGCTCGTGTTGCTGGTAACCAACATGGTATATGCATCTGCACACACATGCATTCACAGAGGTCTACATGTACAAATATCCATACAAACAAGCACACTTGCATCTCCAGAAACAGATGTAGGCTCAAAAGGGGAGACACTGGGGATTACCCTGGCAGGGAAGGGCTGGAGTACCTTGGGTTAGAATAAAGCCACAAACACATCCGTAGTGTACACTGAGGACTCCCAGAGACTACCCAGGCAGAGCAGGAGGCCAGACAAAGCAGTAACCTTCTCCTGAGGGCAGCATTAGGAGGCGAAGATACAAATCCCAGCAGTGAGGGAGAGAGAAGCATGTGACATGTCCCCATGGATGAGAGTCTTGGGACATGGGGCTGAGGACTGCAGGGCTGGAAGCAGCTGAGCCCCTCCCTGAAAAAAAGAACACAAACAACCCCACCAGAGCGCCCCGGCCTTACATCATCTGCTTGCAATAGACCCCTCTGGCTCTTGGTCTGCATCTTCTGGCTGCTCTGATGCATTTCTGCCCTGGAAATCAATGGGCTTGTATTCCCAGCACTCCATGAGGGAATGGGTATGCAAGAAAAGAGAAAGAAGAAAGAAAAGAGCCCTCAATATAAGAAGGACATGGACCTGATGGAGAGGGTCCAGAGGAGGGCCACAAGGATGATCAGGGGGATGGAGCACCTCTGCTACGAGGACAGGCTGAGGGAGCTGGGGTTGTTCAGCCTGGAGAAGAGGAGGCTCCGGGGAGACCTAATAGTGGCCTTCCAGTACCCAAAAGGAGCCTACAGGAAGGCTGGGGAGAACCTGTTTAGAAAGGCCTGCAGTGACAGGACGAGGGGCAATGGCTTCAAGCTGGAGGGGAACAGATTTAGACTGGAGATTAGGAGAGGGTTCTTCACTGTGAGGGTGGTGGAGCACTGGAACAGGTTGCCCAGGGAGGTGGTTGAGGCCCCTTCCCTGGAGATATTCAAGGAGAGGCTCGACGAGGCCCTGGGCAACCTGGTCTAGTTGGGGGTGTCCCTGCTGACTGCGGGGGGGGTCGGACTAGATGGCCTTTGGATGTCCCTTCCGGCCTGGGCAATTCTATGATTCTATGATTCTAAAATTAAAAGGTAACACTGCACAAAGTCAAAACAGAGCTGACGTCATTAGCTGGGACATTTTGTTTCAGAAATGGGAGGGACTTGTGTCTTTTTAGTTTTGAGAAGAGAAGGCTTAGGGGGGATCTAAACAATGCATACAAGTAGTTAAAGGGAGGGTGTCAGGAGGACGGGGCTGGTCTTTTTTCAGTGGTGCCCAGTGACAGGACAAGAGGAAATGGGCACAAACTTGAGTATAAGAAGTTCCATCTAAACATGAGGAGGAACTTCTTTACTGTGAGAGTGGTAGAGCATTGGAACAAGCTGCCCAGACATGGTGTGGAGTGTCCTCTGGAGACATTCAAAACCTGCCCTGGACAAGTTCCTGTGCAACCTGCTCTAGGTAGACCCGCTTTGGTGGAGGGGTTGGACTAGAGGATCTCCAGGGGTCCCTTCAACCCCAGATGATTCTATGATTCTATGGACATCTTAGAAGATTACTACTTCCACAAAGATCGCCTGTGGACCTGGGCAAGTGTAGGACCACTATAAAAGCAAGTACAACTCCTTGCTCCCTCATCCACTTCTCTTGCTTCATTCTGTTTTGAGGACCAGGTGAGGGAAGCTCTTTCTCCTTTTTCTGCTCCAGAATGAGATCTTGCCTCAATGACCAACTCAGACAATACCCACTCCTGTGCTTCGAGCTCCTTCTTTGGCTTGGAGAGACACTAGGGGTTGCCTGAGGTGGTTCCTGCTCTACAGGCTTGGCAAGAGCCTCTCTGTGACACTTTGTAGAGCCCCTGGGTCCAAGGCAAAGAACACCTGGTGTCTCCCTACACAATTTCCCCCTGGTCACCCAGTAGGAAGCTTGTCTTCTTTGTGTTGGTGAGCAAGGCTCCTTTCTCACCCATGCCTGTACTATGATTTTTTCTCAGGTGTACCTCCAGCTCAGAGACATGTCTTGCTATGACCACTGCCAGCCCTGCTGCCCAACCCCACTGGCCAACAGCTGCAACGAGCCCTGTGTCAGGCAGTGCCAGAACTCCACCGTCGTCATCCAGCCCTCCCCCGTGGTGGTGACCCTGCCCAGGCCCATCCTCAGCTCCTTCCCGCAGAACACCCTGGTGGGCTCCTCCACCTCTGCTGCTGTTGGCAGCATCCTCAGCAGTGATGGAGTGCCCATCACCTCTGGGTGCTGTGACGTCTCCTGCATTTCCAGCCGCTACTGTGGCAGAAGACGCCCCCCCTGCTAAAGATGCTGGGAATTTCCCAAGAAGACCCTCTAGGGAACTCAGAACAGTGTTGTTTTCAGCACAGCTGAATTACTTTGCTTTTCCTTCTCTTTTCCTTGTTTGCTTCATATCCCCTTAGCAGCAAGGTTCCCCCAAGAACAACTCAGTGGGAACTGTGCATCTTCTCCTCCTCTATGGGACAGGCAGACAGACATCATGCAGGTACTTATCCCTGGCCAAGGACCCCAGACTCACAGCTGCTCCTAGAGCTCCATGAACTGGCAGCCCCATCTGCAGTTACTTTGTTTCCCTCTTTTGACTCATTAAAGTTCTATCGCATTCAAGCCTGGCCTCCATGTGTTCCTTCTTTCTGTGGACACTCCTCAGTGTCAAAGGAGAAAGGTGTTACTCTGGGTGGGAAGGGGATGAGAGTACAAGGAGTCCCTTCTGCATTCACAGAAGGATGGGAGGTCAGGGCACCACACAGGGGAGCCTCTTCTCAGCACTGTCCCTTGGAGCTGAGGAGGACATCCTTGAGTGCTCTCTGTCAGTGATCATCAGACCTTGCTCTGCAGTGCCTCTAACCACAAATGCCCAGAAAGGCAGGAGGCCCCGCGGGGGCAGCACCCCCATGAGCTCTTGAGGAAAGGCGTTCCTCTTCTGTGGCTGGAGCTGCTCTGGGGTGGCAGGGGGTGAATGTGGGGCTCCAGAAGATTATTTGCTCTGCAGAATGGGAGGAGTGGCAAAGCAGAAAACAGCCCTTGGGATGGCCCAGAGCTGCTGCTCCACTTTCCTCTCCCTTTCACCATCCAATCCAGGGGCCATGGCCAGCATGCATGGACAGGAATAGCAGCAAAATGCTATCAGAAGGAGTAGCTGCTGAGTGCATTGAGGCTGGAAACTGGAGCTAAGGATGTGGGAGCTGAGGGCAGTCAGCACAGAAATGGGGACAGTGAAAAGGTGTATTTTTGAGGGAGATCAAATTGCTCTCATAAAGAACATGTAGGAGAATGTGAAGATTAGCAAGGATAAGGATAATTGGTGCACTTCCCAAGAGAGTTGTAGAGCTGTTCCCAGAGCTCTTGACTGCTTCATCGGTCCCCCCCAGAGAATTTGTGTTCAGGAATTGACTGCCACTCTGAGAGGAGAGGATTCTTTTATGTGTAAATCTCGTCCCTTCTGATCAGTGTAAATGTCTCTTGGTAGCTGCTACAAACCCATATCCTATTTCCTGCATGAAAATTCAGATGTTTTGACAAAAGCGTAGAAGTCAAAGAACAGAAATCCCCACACCCATGTTCTCTACCAAGAGGGAATTATGGGTCATGAAGCATGTCAGAACCATTGAAGGCCAATCTTTTATAAAGGTGTCTCAGTTGCAGGTCTGAAATCTTATTCGCTTAGTTATAGTATTAACAGCCATCATCATCACCTTATTTGGTCTTCCTGACCCCTACCACACCAAGACATGTAATAAGCAGAAGGTACCTCACAATGATGATGCCATCTGCAGCATGTCCTTATCGAAGAGGAGGGGATGGCTTGTCTTCTGACAGACAAGTAAACCCTTTGGCCAAAGCACAAAGTGTTGCTGCTGACTCTTGACATGATCCCTGGTTTCCCTGACCAAATAAAGAGGTCTTGGAAAGACCAGCGAGTTTGAAAACAACACCAAGCTGTGTGGCCTGGTCGACATGCTGGAGGAAAAGGATGCCATCCAGAGGGACCTGGACAGGCTTGAGAGGTGGGCCTGTGCAAACCTCATGAAATTCAACCAAGCCAAGTGCAAGGTCCTGCACGTGGGATGGGACAATCCTGAGCACAAATATGCCCTGGGCAGAGAAATGATTGAGAGCAGCCTTGAGGAGAAGGACTTGTGGGTGTTGGTAGATGAGAGGCTCAACATGACCTGGCAATGTGTGCTCACAGTCCAGAAAGCCAACTGCATCCTGGGCTGCATCAAAAGAAATATGGCCAGCGGGCTGTGGGAGGTGATTCTAGTCCTCTACTCCACTCTAATGACGCCCCACCTGGAATACTGCATCCAGCTCTGGAGCCCCCAATATAATAAGGACATGAACCTGTTAGAGCAAGTCCAAAGGAGGGTCACAAAGATGATTAGAGGGCTGGAGCACCTCTCCTGTGAGGACAGGATGAGGGAGTTGGAGCTGTTCAGCCTGGAGAAGAGGAGGCTCCAGGAAGACCTTATAGCAGCCTTCCAGTATTTAAAGAGGGCCTATAGGAGAGATGGGGAAGGAGTTTTTCAAGGGTATGTAATGACATGATGAGCAGTCATGATTTTAAATTGAAAGAGGGGATATTTAGATTAGATATTAGGAAGAAATTCTTTACTGTGAGAGTGGTGAGACACTGGAACAGGATTTCCAGAGAAGTTGTGGATGCCCCAACTCCACCACTGGAAGTGTTCAAGGCTGGGGTGTTCAAGATGGGAATGAGCTATCTGGTCTAGTGGAACATGTCTATGCCTATGGCAGGAACTAGATGATCTTTACAGTCCCTTCCAACTCTAGCCATTCTATGGCTCTACGGCTCTATGACTCTATGATTCTGTGATCTTTACTTATATCTTCACTTCAGTAAAGACTGAAGACTTAAGCATTAACTGCAATTTGAGGCTATGAAATGAGGCAAGTGAATCCCCTACCTTACTCCCTCTGCATTCATGTGTCCATAGCTGTCTAGTTATCTCCCACCCTAGAGGTTTCAAGACCATGTTAGTCTCTAGCACCAAATACCTGACACTTCCAGTTTCTTGCAACATTCAGATGTCTCCTTGTGTCAGGGAATAGCTATGCAAGACAGCACTGAGTTCCTGAGAATGTTACATACTGCAGATGCAGGCAGGAGGCAAGCACCCAGCCTGACATAAATGTTAGAGAATTATGTTGTTGTTCTTTAAATGGCTTGTGTGAAGAGAGACAGTTACACATCTGCAACAGTTCCATGAGATCCCTCAGAGATCAAATTTCCTGTAGTACACAGAGGGAAAACAAAACTGTCTCCTCGGTGTAGCCAGTTTGAGCTTCAGTGTGTTAATGAGGTGGGTGTGGGGATGTTATTATGCTAATGAAGTTGGTGACTCTCTGATGCCTGCACTCACCATATGAAGGTAAATTGCAGAGACTTTGTGTATGTGCTTGTTTGCTTCTCTCTTTGTGGATGTGCAGTGGTGGCTGTGAGGGGGAAAGAACATCAGGACCACAAGCTGTCGATACCTACCAGGTGGATGGAGAGGAAGGCCAAGCAGCTGTGTATAGCTTGAAGTGAGTTGACATGGTGAGAGCTCTTCAGCCACACCTGACATCAATGCACCCAGAGCTCCTCTAATAAATCAACCTCTTTCCAATGTTCTTCTTCAGCCAAGGGGACCATGGCTTCATCTGGAGGATGGTGCATGAAAGGATGTCATTTAGACCATTTCTACTGGCTGAGCTGGTGAGCGAAACCTGCCCAAGACCTCTAGTGTAGACTCCCAATGCCTTGCATGTTTAAGGAGAGGCAGATTAAGGGGGATTTCTCTACTCTTTAGGCATATGGGTTTTCTGGTATGTGAATTCTTAAGGAGGAAGAAAGGAGAGAAAGGGATCCTTCAGGTGGCGGTTCATCTCCATCTATCTTAGACACCCACCTGAGGATGAGAAGGGTTTTCCCCTAGAGAACTGATCAAGAATCCTCCCTTGTCTGCAGGGAGGGCATAGATTATACCCTGCATTTTGGCTGGCTTCTCAGAAGAGCTACCTTGGATGGGATTCAACTCAGAGGATTTTCCCTTCAACCACTGAGGTATGGATACCTCTGCCCAAGATGATCTGTCCAACTTATCCATCTGAGCTTCTTGCTAGACTCCTGCCCTAGTCCTCAGAGACAGCCTGGCACTTCTAGAGGGGTTTGAGCCATATATAAAAGGTGAGATGAACAATGTCTCCCTAGTGCCTTTTCTGTGTACGTTGAGAAAAAAGGAGGGAGCTGAGATAAGAGTATTTCACTGTAGGTCTTTCAGCTTGGTCAGCAGAAATCCTTCCTCTGACTCTGAGATGGCAAAATTTTAAAAGATGAGTCTTGTCACTAGTAGCTGTTCTGGGAAGCAGACATCAGTGAAAGTAATGGAGGTACTTGCAAAATATTCCTGTGCTGAGACTTGAAAGAAAGCAAATACATAAGACCAGGGGTCCTTCAGTAACAACTGTCATACTGGCCGGCTGCCTTGTGCTGCTGCAGCCTCATCAGAAAGCATTGTGATAAACTCACCTAGAAGAGGTGGAAAATCTCTTCCAGTGTCACATTGTCATGACAATTTTCTGATCCCTCAGTCTCATTTGCTGATATCACAGCAAATACCCTAAAGAGCGCAAGTATCTTATTCCCTTCCTGAGTGCCACAGCCTTTCATGCAGCTGGGGACCCTCAGCTGCTGTCCATAGTTTTCTAAACTATGGGGTTTTTGTCTCACAGAAGTGATTGCATTCACCATGTTCTAAAGGAGATGCCTGCACTTGACCTAATAAATAATTCTCCAGGTTCATTTGATAGCGTAGGCATGATCTCCAGGGTCAGATCTACTTGCCCAAACATGTTTCTGCAGTAAAGGATTTCCCTAACAATTTTAACTTAGGGTAAATGCTGTTTTCCCACACTCTGCAACAACCACTTTTTCAGGGATGATGCCTTTGTTTCACTACTAGTAGCACCTGAAGGAACAGCCCAGGAATGCAGACTCACACAGAAACTTTCCTGTCTTTGTAGATGAACCTCACCTCTTGGGAGAACATGGCAAATGGGACAAATGTGGAAGAATTTATCCTTCTTGGCTTCCCAGGAACGTGGCATTTCTGAATCTCCCTTGTGGTGGTGTTTGCATTGACGTACTCCCTCACAGTAACAGGATGGATGCATCCATCATAGCCTTCATGTGGACGACCAAGAACCTCCATACCCCAATGTACTTTTTCCTCTAATCTCTCCTTTCTGGAGATCTGGTACACTATGGATGTTGTTCCCAAAGCCATAGGAGTCATGCTGGGAACTAGCCAGACCATCTCCTTCAATGTCTGCATCCTCCAGTTGTTCTTTCTTCTCTCTTTAGGCTCCACTGAATGTTTTCTCCTGTCTGTCATGGCCTATGACTGCTACTTAGCCATATGCTACCCCTTGAGATACAGCTCCAGCATGAGCAGTGTCCTCTCTGCTCGGTTGGTACTCAGCTCCTGGCTGGCAGGCTTTCTAGTAATCTTGCTGCTGGCCTTTCTGACATCGAGGCTGACATTCTGTGGGCCAGATGTCATCAATCATTTCTTCTCTGATATAGATTCTTGCCTTGCACTTTCTTGCAGTGACACATGGCCCGTGGAGCTGGCAACATTCCTAGTCTCCATCATCATTGTGGTGGCCTCCTGTGTGGTCATCGTGGTCTCCTATGTGTACATAATCTCTTCCATCCTGAGAATCAAGTCAGCCCACAGCTGGAAAAAGGCATTTTCCACTTGTTCTGCCCATCTCAGTGTCATCACGATCTGGTATGGCTCCACCATCTTCCTGTATGTCAAGCCATCAGCCCATAACTCCCTGGATCTCAACAAACTTATGAATACTTTTAACATAGTTGTAACTCCTTTGTTGAACCCCTTCATTTACACACTCAGGATCAAAGAAGTGAAGCAAGCTCTGGGGCATGTCTTCCAGAAAAAGTGAAGTGACTTTTCGAAGGGCCTCAGTGAGAGCAAACAGATTCATCCACTCCCTCCCATGACTTCTACCCTGCAGAACTTTCTCACCTGGGCATGACAGGTAGTGAGAAGCCACCAGTTCCCCACCAAGCTCATCTCACTCACAGCCATCTCAGGCTGGGCTGAGCCTCAATTCTAATGCTCCCACCTCCCCTTGTCCACTCCTGGGTAAACTCAGAATGTCTCAGATTGGTCTAAAGACCAGCACTTGGAAAAGGTCACAAAGCCCATCCAGAAACAGTTCTCCAACAGACCACGGGAGGAGTGGCCCTCACACAAGTTTGTAATCCAGTTTGCCAAGTGCTTCTTTCTGTCAGGGATTCACCGGAATCCCCTAAGGAAGTCCCAGCAGCTGGGTCACTGCTTTGGGAAATGGGCATGTGTTTCTCTGTTTAGTCTGGTGTTTTCTGGATGGATTTATGCCCCATTATTTCAGAGATGCCTGTTTCAGAGAATCATGCTCTGGTTCAAGATAAAATTTGGCAATGTCTGGAATCTCTACCTATAGCCATTATTCTTAACACAGTCAACCAAATTTACGTCCCTCTTCCTTCCCTCTATCCAGTATCTGAATGTATCTTTTAATAAAAATATGCAAATCACTATGCTTCATGCTATATGTGTCAGGGCATTTCCACATCTAAACCCCCACATCAGTCTTTAACAGTCCATTATTCCACCGCTTTTGGGCTTTGTTATGGAACCACTTTAATGTGTTGGCAAAGTCTCCAAACTGCCGAGCTGTGAAAGACTGGCGGGGCAGCAAGTCTCTCTTTACACTCATTGGGACAACAGCACTTCCAACGGGCACTTGTTTTTCTCCTGATTTTCACTTCATGAATCACATTCTCCACATCTCTCTTCTTTCTGCCCACAGACAGTGAAGGGAGTCCAAATGACTGCATCAGAAGGAGGAGACATCAACAGGGCAGATACACTTGTATTAACAGTGTGTGATTAATTTCACCTGAGTGTAGAGCTCTCCAATTGAGATGATTGAGTCAGGACTGAGCATTTATTCCTCCCTTCTGGAAGCAGTGGTGCTTCTGAAGGTGATTCTCCTCTGTTCCTCTGTCCTGGGCACCTGGCTCTTCAGCCTGCAACCAGGCCCAGGCACCAGTGCCCAAGGACAGGCTGATGGCCACCCTTGTCAGCTGTGTTCTTTCTCACTGGCATTTGGGAAAATCAGTGAGGCTGGAGAAAAAGCCTGAGCTTGGATCTGTCCTCAGGTAGCCATCGCTGCTTGTCAATCCTTGCTTTTGGGGGGGAATTGTGTCTGTGAAGTGTCTGTCTGAAGTCCTCTTCAGCCCTGGAGAGCAATCACAAGCAGAACCTGAAACGTCCAAGGGACCTGAGACACAGCAGAGTGCAGACCACTGAGGGCTGCCATCATCTCCCCATCAACTCAGAAGCAACTGGGAGGTCTCCATAGGCGTTGTAGAGAAGAACCTCCCTGAATCCACCTGAGGTTTCCATTTGTCCATCCGTAGAAGCATCCGAGGGGACTGAGTCTGGTGCTGCTGGTACCAGAAGATGAAACAATTGGTATAGCTGCTAAAAAACCTGCAGTTAATAGTTGTCCTGCCTGGATGGTCATTTATGGTGGGAACCGCAGCACAGACTCCTTTTGGGCTTGACCTGTCAAACCAGAAAGGGCTTTCAGCTTTGCTCCCTCATGGACCTCTTTGTCTATCACTTCATCAGCTTGCTCACTGTCCCCTCTTTCCATCTCACTTTTCCCAGCATCTGAAATGCTGAGCTGCTTGTCCCTGCACACTTCTTTTTGCAGGTTCTTGCCACTCCTCACCCTGCAGATCATCCTGCTTTTCAGCAATGCTCACTGGTCTTTCAGTCCACTGATTGTCTCCATATCAGCCCCTCAGCTGTGTTAACTGCTGGTGTCTCCTTCAGCAGCAGAAGCATGATCTGTTTCTCTCCCACCTCTGACTATATCTTCTTGCTAGAACAGTTCCTCCATAGGACACAAAACATCCTCTGCCCTTGCTCTGTCCTTGTAGGGCATTTCAGCCCTTCTTGCATTGAGTTAGCCTTCTATGTGTGTCTCCAAGTTTTATGACCTTCCCTACAGAGACTAGTAGCATTGTGTCCAATACCTCCAGCAGAGAAGCTGCTGTGTGCTGCATTGCTCTGTTCCACGGCATCTTTCCTTCTTTCAGCTACATATATATTAGCAGTACCGTCAAGAATTCTCAATACCTGCACGTTTATTTTTTATTGTGGTTATTTCTTATTTATCTCATTCCTCTTTTGATGTCCATGACTCCTGACATCTCCCACGTTATTTGCCGTACCCGTCTGCAGCCCCTGATCTCTCTACAGAAACACTCCCAGTTCCCCCAGGTAGTCAGGACTCACATCTTCCCCCTTCTACCAGCATCTGGGCAAACTCTTGGCTCATTCTCCCCAGCCTGAAAGCCACATCTCACCAAAGCCTGTCAGTTCCACCAGGACTGCCAGGAAAATCAGGACTATGTCACACTCCCCCTTCATGGGGTGCCCAGGAATATGTCAGCATGAAAGACCTGATGCTTGCACCTTCAACTCTTCTTCTGCTTCTGCCAAATCAAAGAGGCCTCCAAACCAAAGCCCAAGGGGAGGAGCAAAACTCCCTCCCTGCTACTCCAGGCAGGCCTCTTTGTGTCTGTCCTGCAACCTCTACCACAAGATGGTCCTTGAGAGAGAGAACAGACTCATGGTTTAAATACTGTCCACCAAAGAGACAGGTGTGGCTTGAGAAATTCTTCTGACACCCACCACCTAGCCATCTGCACAGGCCTGTGCCCAGCTCTGCAGGAGATGAAAAGGCACGCCTGCACCCACCCATGTCCACCCTGTCCCTGGGACTGCCTGGATGGAGAGAGGAACAGACACACGCTGAAGTGCCTGGACCCAGGTGTCACACTCTCTCTCCCTTCTCCTCTGGCCATAGAGGAGGAACCTGAAGATAAACCTCTCTGTGAAGAGCATCTGCTGCAGAAACCAGCCACACAGGGACACTCCCTCACTTTAGTAGGGGGAGGACATGGAAACACAGCTCTCTGTTGTACAGGCAGTCCCTCTGGGACCCTTCCCCTCCCCACATTACCCACAGCTTCCAGCTGCTTGTCCCACCCTGGGTCCCAGAACCTCAATACACAGGCAAGTAAAAGGGCTATTGATTTTTCTGTCTTCTAGTGTCTGCTGCCTGGAGCAGGGCTCCTCTGCCCCTTCTCACCCAGAGCCTTTCTCACACAGTTGGCAGGGACTGCAGGAAGTGGGTTAATGGGACAGCAGCACCCATTCACAACTGTGCTCCCACAAGGTGGGCTGCCCTCTGGTCTCCAGTGCTGCAAATGTGCCAGGAGTTCCCTTGGAATACAACTATGACTGCCACAACAGGCCCCAGCTGAGGCAGGGGACAGGGATGAACTTTCCCTCATCTGGTGGGTAGACCAGCAGTGTCCACAGGTGGGCTGAGCTGGGTCTCTCCCTTTGCCTTTGCCACACACACACAGCCCTGCCTGTGGCAGTTTATACTCCTCCCCCAGTGTATCCTGGGGCACTTCTGCCATTTCCCCATGTCAGGGCCAGGTGAGCCACAGGGTGCTGGTCACTGGTCACTCCCCAGTGAGAGCTGCCCCAGTGGATCCAGTAGCACTTTGGAATCTTCTCGGCTGCTCACAAGGAGCTTTGGGCCTCAGCAAGGGAGCAGATGGTACCAGTGGATGAACTCAGTGGACTGTATGTTGGTATATGAGCAGTTGATGTCGATGCCAGTGCTCTCAGTGGTCTCTGCCAGCTGCTCCTTCTGCACCTGTGCTCCATCAGAAGCCACTACTGAGAAAGGACAAGGAAAGGCCAAAAATCACCAAAGGTCACTCAGGTCTCATGCCTTGTTTCACAGAGAAATGGTTGGGAAGAATGTCAGTGAGACAGAGCTGTACTGTAACAGATGGGGACATGTGCCAACAGGGACAGGGATAGACAGTGATCCTGCTGTAGTTTTGTGGAGCAAGGGAAAATGGCTGGAAGGAAATTTGAAATAGATGCATGGAGAAATGGCAGGAACATCAGATGCATAGATGGATAGATGAAGAGAAGAAGAGTAGACAGGAGAGTTGGGAGTATTGCAGTGTAGCAGAGAGGGCCAAATTTGAACAAGAATTAATGTTGAATGCACAAGGGGATACGTGGAAGAACAGGATAATGGAAATGTGCAGGAAAGCAAATTTGTGTCTACAGACATGAAGAAAGCAGAGGGAAAGATGAGAAAGGGCTCTCAGAGAGTAGGAAGAGGGGTTAGAGACAGTGGGTACATGGAGTCATGGGTCAAAAGATGGATGGGTGGAAGGTGGAAGGATGAAGAGAGAGAGGAACACTAGCAGGGAGAGTGGATGTCAGGGTGAAGGGCAGAGAGCTAAATTCAGGGCAATAATTGCTAGGTGCACAAAGGAAAGAGTGGGTATTTTGAAAGGTAGTTGTACATGCAAGCAACCCCATACCAACAGAGTTGATGGACACAATGCAAGATATACTGAGTGAGGAATCAGAAATGTGAAAGAGGGAACTGAAATGCCAGAAATGCAGGGAGGGGAGAGACTCTATGAAGAACGAGCGCAGCCATGGATACCCACAGCTGATGTCTGTCCTACACACCAAGTACCACTGCAGCCAGTCCCACCAGCCCTGCACATCCCACCCTCTGCAGCCCACATCTCACTATCCAGTGCCAGCCCAAGGTGTCTGCTCTGGCCACAGAATCTCCTCTCTGCTGCTGTCACCCACTGCCACCAGCTCCACCTTGAGGCCAGGCCATGTGATAGTCCCACGCTTCTCTGTCTCTTCTGAACAAGTAGTTGTAGAAAGCAAGAAGGTTTCCCCTAAGCCATTGCTTCTCCAAGGTGAGAAAGCTCAATTCACTTAGCCTCTCCTCACACATCATGTTAGCCAGCCCCCTAATCAAAT